ATCTACAATCATTACAAAAATAAATGGACCATTCAAATGATTTCACAAGTATGCAATTTTTTAGCCCCCCTAAATGCAATGTTTTTATTGAGCATGTTATTATAGAGTTCTGACACAATGTCCATGAAATAAAACCTCAAACATCAAGTAGCAATAGCAAATACACGAGGGAAACCATATGCTTATAGTCCACATCGCAAGCCGCGGAAAGCCTTGTGACGCAGTGCATTTTGGGATTGATAAATGAGTAAACAAGTGAAAAACGATGTCAGTGCTCCAGTTGTCTGTAACGTAGACTCAGTTTTCGAAAAACATTGGGAAATATTGATATTGTAGTTAATCTCAGAAGCGAAAAAACAAACAAATATCAACATGCAAGGAAATACAGCAAGAAAAACCTCCAAAAAATGTACAGTTAATCAAGAATTTCCATTTACTAGGCAAATCAAGCATAAATGAAAAGAAACATATTTTGTCTGTGGAAAAATCGAAACTAATTAGTGTTTTTACGATTTTAGCGATTTGTTTTGATGAAGTAAGGGAGATATATATCCCATGATACATTGCAAAGCCATTCAAAATGGCGGGCTTGTGATATGGAACTATGTCTACACAATAACTGAAATGGAGGATGATGTTAATAGATTGAAGATCTTTCTATTGTTAAGTTCCAGGTGAATGATAGTAACAAATAGTCACTAAATAAAAACTATTTGTTAATTACTGTTTGGGTTCTATTTCATGGACATTTTGTTAGAACTCTAGTTAGTACAAAAACATCCAAAACAAGAGCCAGCATTGATGAAATGGCGCTAAGGGAAAAATTGTGAAAAAAGGAGAAAAATTTTAGGATGAAGAAATAATTCTATGGTCCAAGGTTTTTTTGACAACAATTGTACCTAACACTTCCAGGAAAATGGCATTTACCTGGCACTCCAGGTATCAACACACATCAACATTCACAATTCAAACAACAATTTATTTACATTTCGTTCCAATGTACAATATAGGAAACAATATAAAGATGTCAAAGATGTCTAGAGTGTACATCAAGTGTAGTCACCTCTATTCAACTTACTTCCACAAGAGAATTAAAAATAAGAGTTCAATGACATTTTTAGTTTTCAACAGGCGTATGAGTATGGTGTACTGTATCTTGGTGTTCGTGCTCTTTGACTGCAATTAGCAAAGTAGAACAGTTACAATTAGTATTAAATTAACTATTAAAACACATAT